ATCTTTATTTTTTTTTTTTACTAATAGTAATACTAACCAGAAGTCCAGGGATAGTAATTAAAATAAAATTTCTAGTCCCTATTTTTTACAATTCTAGAAAGATAAAACCGAGAAAATGATCGATTAAAAAATAAAAATATTTAAAGATTTCATCATATGAAAAATTTTCCCGAAATCTGAAATACTGTTTTAAAATTTTTTAAGACAATCCCGTTTGCGTTGGAATCTTTGTAAAACTTTTTTTTTTCATAGGATATGCATCGGCGATTAGTCTTTATGGAAATATAAATATTTGGGACTTAAAAATTTTTCGAGTAAAATTTAGTCATGAAAATATTGGTGGTTATTACAAAAAAGTATAACATTTTCTCACACTTTTTTAAAATAAAAAATAAAAAACCCTGTTCATTCTAAAAGTAAATAAATAATGAATATGTACTGAAATTTTCATTTAAATTGGATTATTCTCTGAGTTTTTGATTATTTAACAAATAGCCAATTTTCCTTCGAGGGTTTGTGGTCACCAGGTTGGAAAATTTTGAAATCGACATGTAGTAGAGAGGTGGGTGCGTCTCAGAGTTGTTACTGGAGTTGGGGCGGGGGAGAGACCCTAGCGCCGGCCCTAGCACGTAAAGTGTTCCAGCATACAAAAAGACTATCGCAGTTTAACTCAAAGCCCCCTCCGAAAATGTTTGGTGTATAAGTTATCTTATTTTTCATACATGATAGCAATTTAACTCCATTTTGTCAGTTTCTTTTAAAATAATAAATATAAAAAAATCAATTAAGAAACAGAAATACTAGATTTTTAAACCGCTTTGTAACATTTGACATACAATATATACAAACATACATACATACATACATATATATATATATATATATATATATATATATATATATATGTGCGCGTGTATGCATGCATGTATATATGTGTGTGTGTGTAAGCATATGTGTGTGTATGTATGTATATATATGTGTGTGTGTGTAAGTATATGTGTATATATGTATATGTGTGTGTGTGTATGTATATGTGATAAAAAATAAACATTGGATAGAAAGGAAATAACGAGATTAAATAAAGGTTTTCCACAAACGAACTAAAATATTTATATTATATGCACACACAAAATGTGTCTGCGCGCACACACACACACACACACACACACACACGTTTGCTTATATGGGCAAATAAAGAAACAACACATGTATACACAATACATACATACATATGTCCATACATACGCACACATATAGATATTTGCGCAATGTATACACACGCACACACAGACATAGACGCACACAGACACACACACACACACACAAACATATATATGTATATATATATATATATGCAGTTCCAAGATAATTATACTTTATAGTTGTGTGGTCTCAACTCTTTGGTTATTTCCAATTAGTTCATCGCGCAACGTTGTCATGACAACCACGCAAATGGCCAAAACTTAATCTTCGTAGCTTGTATCAGTCGCCAGGGTCAAAGGCAAAGGCATAAAAGAAGGGTCATTTATACACTGGGGATACTTAGTGGGTTTGGAAACAATTAAATGAATTTTTTCACTGACCGTTCATTTTATTCGTTGCATTGCATTGGTATTTAAAGCTTTAATTTTAAAACCATTTGGTCATTTTCCATTACTTCTTATTGTAGAAGTATGAGGAATCTAAAATGAGTTTGGGTATGTTGTCGCAAAAACCTTCCGCATTTTAATCTGAACAGGGGCACAAGCAATGGAATGCATATATCTATCTATCAATCTATTCAAGGTTGTTCTCTCGTCCTCTCTCTCTCTCTTTATATATATATATATATATATATATATATATATATATATAGTGATTTACTAAGCGTAGCATGGATGTGGCACAAGACTGAAAGTATGGGTCACAGTGAAGATCAAACTCACTACACTGTAACAAGATTAGATTCGCTAATATACATATATGCATACATACATACATATATATATACATACATACATTAATCTATATCTATATAATAAATGTGAATGTCAGTGTGTCACTGTGTCACACTTTTTCAGTTAAAGTGACACAACTCTCTAACTTCCAATAGTTCATGTTACAGAAATTTTGGATTCCCAAGTTTTCATTACTGCGATTATTTTCGGCGATATTTTTACGTGATTTTTTGAGACGAATTTTTATAAGTTGGAAATAAATTTTGGGTATAATCGAAATTAATTGCCAAATCCAGCGAACGTAGCCCATTAAATAAAAACAATAGTTTGTGCGGAAAGTAAGGACCTACGCACATCAAACTGTCTTTAAATTAAGAGCTAGCAGAACAATCGTGGTTGAACATTTGAAAGGTAATCCTAAATATTGATGCAATACTTAAATGCAGCGATCAATTTTGAGTTCTTCTATAGTTTATTGCTGCCTATCGCATACGGCAGCAGTACGCTTCGCAAAAAGAAATCTCCCCCAAGATAGGAGCAAATCAAAAGAGGCAAGGCTGCAGCTAAGAAAAGAAAGGGCGGCTTTTAAGCTAACACACACACACACACACACACACACACATATATATATATATATATATAAATATGAAAGTTAACATAGAAGTCAACACTTAGAGGCGACAGTCTGTTTCATGCTAGATGCAACCTTCAGGCCACGAGTGCTATGTTGACTTCTAAGTGTTGACTTATATATTCACTTTTATATTTACACACTCTCTATCTCTGATATTGAGCACTTTAAGACTATATTTTTATATATATATATATATATATATATATATATATATATATATATATATATATATATATATATATTTATATATATCACACACACACATACACATATATATATATATATATACAGGGTGATTGAAAAGTAACTTCCTAATTTATGTATGATGGACTTTATACATAATAATGGACTCGGTTTCGACGTATGACGATCTGATAACTTAACCAATTGCTTCCCTTATGAATTTTGTGCGTTAATCTTAAGTGGCACTTAAACCCCGCAAGTGATTTGCAAAGGAGGCCGCCTATGAAGCAATTGTAAGGATTGTGAGATGAGGTAACTGTTAGATCGGTTGACCTTTTAGATCTTCCTCTCGTTTTGTATCCAAGCCATGCACGTTCTATATTCCTGTAGTCCTGACCTAACTGGTTGTATATTAGGACCTAGTTATCCTGTCAGCAAGCATTCTCAACACCTGACCAGTTCACTGCAACTAAGACTGTATGAGGTAAGTCTCGATTCCTCTAATATTACACCTGCTAAACAGGTCTACATTGGACGTCCTGTCTTGAAATCTACTCCACAGATGGGTATGCAGACAGCTCTTATGGAAAACATCCAGCTGGCATATATCGTACCTGTATGGGTTCCATATACATATATATATATTAGTGAATATTCATAATATCCTACCTGGGTAGCATACCTATATATATATATATATATATATATATATATATATATATATATATATATATATATGAGGGTCATTCAATAAATAAAGGTGAATTTTTCTGTATAGGACTTCTAATACAGATAGAAGCTACTTTTTTTTTTTTTTTGTTTGTTTTCTTTTTTCACGTGGATTTAATTTCTTTTGTAGATTAAAAAAAAAAACTTTGAGAGTTTTGGCGATTAACAAAGATGGCCGACCAAGAAGCATGCTCCAGGATTAAACAGCGGTCAGTTATCAAGTTTTTGGTAGCTGAAGGGTGCAAACCAGTTGAAATCCATAGGAGAATGTCGACTGTGTATGGTGCCACATGTTTCAGCCAAAAAAATGTCTACAAGTGGGCTAAATTGTTTAAAGAATGACGGAGCAGTGTTGAGGATGAAGACAGGCCTGGGAGGCCTACAGAAGTGAGGTCTCCTGAGGTGATCGAATCAGTCAATGACCTTATTTAGTCTGACAGAAGAACTACCGTGGACTGCTGAGGCAGGTCAAGAAAGACATAAAGAACAACCGCAGGGGTCATCAGTCAGAAGGAGTCATCTTGCATCATGACAACACAAGGCCTCACACAGCAGCCCAAACGGTGTAGACCATCAACGAGCTGGGCTAGGAACTGCTTCCTCACCCCCCTTACAGCCCAGACCTTGCCCCTTCAGACTTTCACCTGTTTGGTTCCTTGAAAGCGTTCACGAGAGGCACGGAGTTTAAAAGTGACGATGAAGTCAAAAGTGTTGTGAGCGACTGGCTGAGACATCAGTCCAAAGATTTTTACGCCGAGGGAATACGGAAGCTTGTGCACAAATGGGAAAAGTGTGTGACAGTGCTGGGAGACTACGTTGAAAAAAAAAAAAAAAAAGAAAAAAAAAAAAAAGTAAGCTTCTATCTGTATTAGAAGTCCTTATACCGAAAATTTCAACTTATTTATTGAATGACCCTCGTATATATGCAGGGTTACAAACATAGCATACCCATACCAATATATATATATATATATATATATATATATATATATATATATATATATATATATATATTCATCTGCGAGAAAGTGACGGATATACGCATATGGACTAATATTAAACTGGATAATTTATCTTTGATTTATCAAATGTTACACTTCTGTGTTGTTCAGAAACTTCATGTCCATGACGGATTTTTTACGAATTACACAGTTATTGGGAATTTCATGTCCAGTTTAGATAGGAAATTCCTCTTGTATCCGAATCCTAAAATTGATACTTTTATTATGGACTACTTTTGCTTGCGGGTCGTTAAGATATCGTATACGACGGCATTTGACATGCGCAGTTTACAAGGTTAATTTCAGCTGATCTAAACCGCATAGTTGTCCACATTGCTGTGCATTTTTAGGCACTTTGATGTGGCGTAATGTTTAGTAAGCTTGTCTCGTGAGATCAGTTACGACTTACAAGTGAGCTCGATCCTCACTGGGTACCTTGTATTTTAGGCATTGAACCGCGTACAATCTACGCTTAGAAAACTACCATAGCTGTCTACAGTTTTTGTCGATTGCACATTAGTCATAATATTGTCGAGGAATATTCGTGGATAGATTAGAGAGGGCATTGGTGTCCACGATTATCAGCTGTCTATCCTCGTCTAAGTTTAATACGACACGGTGCGTATTATTCTAAGTTAATCTTAATTGTTGGGTTATTTAATGTCTAATTTTGTAGGGGTATCAGTGGAGATCTAATCGACTACTCAGTAAGTAACCGTATTCGCCTAATTATTATCTCACGTCGGGACGATAGATAGATAGATAGATAGTTTTCCGACATGCCAACTTTTTTGGTTACTTAATATTGAAATTAAAGGCACAGTGGAGTAATGGATAGCGGCTCGGATTGAGGAATCGGAGAGCCGAGTTCTAATTCCAGTCGAATACATTACATTTACTTACGTGCTAATACCCTTGGGAAAGATATGAATCCTCTTCTTCTCCACCCCCCAGCTATGGGTAAATAGCAGGACAGACCAGGTTCTATAGCCTGGGATGGCAACTGGTCTACTGCAGAAAGAAATGACAACTTACTGCAGGAAAAAAATCTGCCTCGTCGGTCATGTATCGAAAGATACATGATCGCCTATGTGTGTATCACGTATGGCACATAACTGATTGAATATTGAAACTGGTAAGTGGGACCTAGTGAAGATCGAACTCACTACATAGTAGTAATGGTCAACTATACCAACCTCCTTAACCATTACTTTTCTACTACTTTAACTTGATTTCTCTCTGATTTGTCTATAAATATTTTAATTGCAATTGTTCTGATAAGCTATCACCTTTGTTAATTCGACCTCATGAATTTAAACGTAGTACTAGATTGGCAGCTAGGTCTCACCATTTTACTGTCGGGATTGCTAAATATAATAAGTTCTATGTTAATGTTTTTTTTCTCCCGCACTTCTCGCGTGTGGAACTCTCTTCTGGCTTCTTACCTTTCTATCAGGTACGAACTTCAAAAATTTAAATGCAAATCAGCTTCTTGTGTCACCTTGAGACCTGTTCGTTTATTGTCCCTTCTCCTCGATAAAGTTTTCCAAGTTTCTTTCACTCTCAGTAACTGCTTGCGTCTTAATGTCGCTGAATCCTAGAAAAAATGGACTTGACATCCGTAAAGACGAGAATCCAGAGTAAAGAACGACAAAACCTCGCGCTCTTAAAACTGCCTACACCCTGAGAAATTTCTTCGTAGTAAGGAACACTTAGATCTCTTGATTAGATTTAGTTATTTATGTGGGGATTACTGCCACCTTGCTTATCAAGACATCCACTAGATGGCGCTGTTCAGGAATCTATAAGGAAGACACAACAAACCCTCTTCCTCTTTTTCTCCGGATTTAGTAGCGACAATATGGTCATTAAACCCTACGGGGAAATCACTTAGTCACCCGGTAAACTTCACTTCAAACAAAACACATTGTCATCATAATCAGACATCATACTTATTATAAAACCCAGGTTGTGTGTGTGTGTGTGTTCGTTTATATATTGGATCGGATTTCCTACATTTTTCACCCGATTTCAACAAAACTTCACAGGACTACGTAAAATTACCTTGCGGTGGTTCTGACAGCACCAAAAATTGGAAAAACACAATTGTTTTTGCACGAAATCAATTTGAAAGCACGATTAAGAGGCATCACGAGAATAAAAGGGGGACAACTCATATCGAGTTATACTTATTATAAAACCCACGTTGTTTGTGTGTGTGTGTGTGTGTGTGTGTTCGTTTATATATGGGATCGGATTTCCTACATTATTCAACCGATTTCAACAAAACTTCACTTTTTGGGGGCAGGTAGTCTTTCTTATTGTTTTGCACGCTTTTTTCTTTATTTTTACATTTTGCTTTAAAAATTCCATTTACAAGACAATAGTTTATAATAAAATTCTATTCAATCGGTAGACTCATAACGATTGAAAACAATGTTTTTGTTTGAGTTTGGGTTTGACCAATTCGTAAAAAACAAAAACAAAAAAACAAAACAAAAAAAACAAACAAACAAAAAACAAAAAAACCTAATTAAGACATGCGTGTCCGTCAACCTTAAACAATAATCTTTGTCAATTTTATTTTTCAGTCATTATGATGGTCGATACTTGATCTATCTCTTACTGTTACATCCCCGAGCAACGCCGGGCTCTACTGCTAGTATTTTCTAAAAGTAAAACCTATTCTATTTTCTCAGCTATCTGTGGATACACAACAGTATTTTCTTGCTTCTTGAATTATGCTATTCTTTGTGTAAAAGATATATATCCGCACTTGCCGCACGTGTTGAAATCTATTTCTTCAGAAAATATTGAATTCAATTTCTTCGTCACAGTTCTTAAACAACTGAATCAAATAGAGGGATTCATTACGTCTTTTCGGGCTGGCGTTTTCCCACTGACATGAAGTGTAAAGATTATATTGAATCCATTGCTAGATCTGTTTCTAGGAAAGTTGGTTCACTATGTCGTGTTAGAGAATTTTTCTCGCTAGAATCTATCTTACATATTTATGTCTAACATGTTCTTTCTTTGAATATTGCTGCCACATCTGGTCTGATGTTCCTCCTATATATTTAGAGATTCTTAATAAAATCCAAAGAAGAATCTGCAATTTTATTGGTCCTGACCTGGCATCTCGTCTTCAGTCACTTTCCCAACGCCGTAATGTTGCTGCCCTGTGCCTTTTCTATAAACACTTTCATGGTAATTGTGCTGATGAACGTCCCTCTAATGCACATTGACTTTTTGAATTTAAGCTCAGTACTAGATTCCAACAATCTACAGATGAAGTGGCTATATGTAGCCGTAAGTTCTATGCTAACAGAAACTGCTAGCATAGAACTTATGGCTACAAGATCAACATGGATGATGAACTTACAGGTTAAACAACATCAGCATGGCTGATGCTAAACTCCAGGAGAATGACTCATTGCGTCTTTTCCGGCTGGCGTTTTTCCGCTGACATGAAGTGGAGAGATTATATTGAATCAATTGCTAGGTTTGTAGCTAAGAAAGTTGGTTTACTGTGTCGTGCTAGATAATTCTTCTCGACAGAATGTATTTTACATGTTTATAAGTCTACCATTCGCCCTTGCTTTGAATATTGCCGCCACATCTGATTTGGCGATCCTGCTATATGTTTAGAAACTCTTGGCAAAATCCAAAGAAAAATCTGGCATCTCTGCTTCAGTCACTTTCTCACCGCCGTAGTAGTTTCCTTGTACCGTTTCTATAAATAATTAATTAATAATAATTAATTCTATTAATGAACTTTCCTCGATGGAACTTGAACCTTATTTATTTAAGTGCAGTACTAGTTTGGCGTCATTTGACTGTTGTATTGGATCGATGTAACCGTAAGTTTTTTTTTTAATACCATTTTTCCTTTCTCGCACTTCTCGCCTGTGGAACTATCTTCCCGCTTCTTGCTTTCCTGCCAACTTCGATCTTCAAAAAATTCAAACGCAATATCAATCGTATCATCTATCTTCTTAATTCCTGTTCTTTTATTGTTCTTTTTCCTCAGTAATGTTTCTTTTTCTTATACTCTCTAAAACTCAGTAACTCATTGCGTCTTAGTTGCTTTATATTTTTGCTTGGGATGAAGTGATTAATAAAAAAATTACGACTTTATTACAATTCGCTACAATCTGCAGAAACTGATACCGACGCCATGGAATAAAGAATGCTGTAATAATTTTAATTTTGTATCCGATCTGTTTTAGCAGGTCAGTTAATAAACAAACAACAATAACGAAAAAAGAAGAAATCGTGGAGAACCATGATCACTAACGTTCTGAAAGGACTTAATGCATAAAAGAATAACAGTTGAATTGCAAGACCCGCCACATACTCTTTGCTTTTTTTCGTCCATAACTGGGAGCAGGTTTGGATTTTGTTCCTAATTTTGAATTCTGAGTTTTCTGCCTCCTAGAGTGGTTAGCAACCAAGGCTAAATAACTTAACCTACCCTGTTATAATAAGCAATGAGGTGGCAAGAGATGGGTTTTTGTCTTTTCTAAAAGCAGTAATGTGAAGTGAACACAATTTTAGCCGAAATTTGAACTCGTCTAACCGATTTTCGTGTTGTCAGTCATCAGTCAACACATAACCATGTTAATAATTATAATGCCTCTGAGTACACGATAGTCAAATATGAGCATGACTGAAAACCATGGAATCTCCACTTCAGTCCAGGTGACTTCCGGTATTTTCCAAAGCTAAATTCTCCATTAAAAAAAGACCGTAGATGAGATTAAGGGGAAAGCTATGAAAAGACTGATCACGATCCTGATTGAAATTGTTGCAGACTAGTTTCAAAATTGAAAGTTTGGTGAGATAAGTATGTGAGGAATTTACTTTGAGGAGGACTAAGGTGTCATTGTCCTTGGTAGGATACTTTTTAGTTGGTATTAAGTGGCTAGAGCTATGTGGTTAAACTTAGTACGTAAGAAAATAAAGGTGGCCATAATTCCTGAAGCGCTAGGAATTGTCTCTTAGATACTCGCGGAGAAAGCACGGCCAACAAAAAGTTAAGATAAAAGCAACAAAGACGAAAGAAATATTTGTATGAATCAATGTATAATAGTAACAACACTTCGTCCCAGAAGATAACATAAAAATCAGTTGAACAAATTTTCTGATCTTGAATACAATTCATTGCCAAAAAATCACCCCATCACCGAAAAAACAAAAAAAAAAACCAACAACGAAAAAACAAAAAAAACACATTTTGTTTTTTGAAATGTTCAACACCCAAGAATTACGTTTCGTTTGTATGAAAGTTCAAGAAAATTTTAAATATCGGCGTTTGTAAGGTTCGTCATTTTTTTCTTTGGGAATTCAGCATGGGGTTGGGCTTGATGTTCCATATGAATAATTGTGGACAGAGTTAAATATTGCCAAGTTTTCTTCCGGGGTTAGATCGGAGTCCAGCTGGAATCTTTTCCAGCTTTGCTGGTCAAACTCTCCCCCTCCGGGCAGAGAGAACCCCAGACGAGGCTATGTCGAAGGGCAGAGTCTTGTCTCGGGAAACAGCTATCCGACACCGTTTAATACGGGAATTTTTGGCCGAGACCACGGGCTAGGATTTCTCCACTTTAAAACCCAGCCTTGAACCACATCTTACCTTGTGGGGAAGTTGGTAAATATATCCTGTAGCTGGTATCCCACTATTGACAGGACGTACAGTAATCGTACAGTGGGGAAATGCTGCACGAAGTTATAATCTAAAATGATCCGTCATATTTAATTTGTTTTTATGAGATGATAGAGTAGCCATTGTTTTGGAGAAA